TTTCTTATCTTCTTTTCTGGTTCCTTATTTCGTGGTGCATTCTTTCGTTACCACCGCGCTTCGTTACATTCGCTACGTTCATTTCACTGCCATTGCGTGGTAAAGAAAGAGAAGCGAAATAGGAACCGAACGAAGTGACCAGGAAATACCAACTAAATCTACAGTATATCCTAGCCTTTGGAATCCCTCTGTACTTGGCCCTTTATTCCCATTATTGTCCTGGTTCTTTTCTTTCCATTACACTTTCCATTATATGCGGTTAGTTTAATACCAATAAAAGAACGAAGTGGAGCTAGAATATACAACTAATAATCTTTACAGGATTTAACTTGGCATTTGTTCCCATTATATTTTAGGTGGAGATACAATTAATAATCTTAGTGAGTGCGTGAGTGCCTGAGTGCCTGAGTGGGTGAATGGGTGGGTGGGTGGGTGAGCGAGTGAGTGAGAGGATGGCCTGGGGTGCACTCCGGCCGAGCCTCCCGCCATCTCTTCCCCCTCCATTTTCGTCATCGGGGAGATCCGGCAAGAGTTCGCTCCGAGCCCCTCAATCCAAGCAGGGAAAAGTGCCGCCCGAACCTCCATGATGGCCCGCCTCCCCAAGCTGCGCGGCTTGGGTTGGATTTGGGCACTTGGCAAGACAGCCCACGTCTCAGAAACTCAAGCTCTTCCCCTTGAGATCCCCCACTCGGGTACTAAGCTGGGGGCCACTGGCTCGGAGAAAGGGCATGGGGAACCCAGGCACTGGCAGCAAGACTAAGGCAAAAAGCTAACTCAGCTCATCCCCTGTTGGCTGCGCAGACTCAAACAGCATTCCCTTGGCGTGGGGGCAAACCCCAAACCGTGAAAAGACGAAACAGATGTTGGCTGGCAAACCTTAAACCCTAAAAGGACATGTAGGCTGGCAAACCCCAACACAAGTACGGTTCTGCGAGGGTAAGGGCAGCCACACCAGCGACAAAAGTAAACCAGCAGCAACAGCAGGAGATCCTTCGGTGTTGTGTTCTAAAATCGGTCCTCGGTGTGTTCCGAGCCTGTTTTCTGCATCGGCTCGCATGGTTTTCCGAACTTGGCTTTCTGAATCGAGGTGTCTCCTTGTTAGACCCTGTACTCTCTCAGACGAGGCAACTCATGTAGCGACCATGGTAGACGCGTGATTTGCTACTGTATATTCGTTCTTCCGCGTGGAGTAAGGCAGCTAATTTCTCGCAAGTGGAAGTGCCGGTGCGCACCTGAAAGTCCCGGAAGATGCAAAAGTTCACAGGACACTCCGGGTCGTCCACTGTGCTGTCGAAGCCTTGATGACACAAGAGTCCACGCAGGGACTGCCAGAATCGACCGAAGTCACCGAGCCCGGAACGAACCAGGCCATCTTTGTCCCGGCAAGGAGGCCTGAGAGTTCTGGGTACATGCAGCGAAGATCCGCAAGTGACAGGCCGCCAAGGCCCTGGCTCTACCAGATCTGGAGAGCCCTTTGCCCAGGCCTCAGATTACAGACAGGAGGAGCGGATGTGACCTTCACCGTACAAGAACTGAGCAGCGCTCGCCGACGAGGACTTTGGCAAAGAACACAGTTCTTCGTCGAGGTCGCTTTCGCTCACAGAACTTTGTGCCTGATGTGACGTGGCTCGCACGTTGGGATCTATTGATTTCTCTGCAACTGAGATGCTGTAGGCAGCAGAGGCAGAGAAGTAACAGCCGTGCCCGAGCTTCGTTCCTCGACGAGCAAGTGAAAGAAGCTGCTGATGGCTTGGTATGAGGATCTACCAATATCGGTTGAACGCTGCAATTGGCTGAGGCTGGCTCCGTGCCGCCGTCCGCTGTAAGCTCGGTTGAAGCCATTGAGCACGATGTTGGGAACGCACCTGCAGAACATGCATGTTTCGAACCATGCCCATCTGAGGCCATCTTTGGCTATCAACCTTGCTAGGAACAACTGCGACAAGCGGATAGACCAAAAATCCATCCTTTTGCCTGTTGTCTGGTTAAGTCCGGTAAACATACGAGAGCTGGGGATCAAGCTCGCTCGACGTGCCGTGCCACAAGTCCAACCTCCAAACGAGTCCGGTAGCTGCCGTTTGGTCTTGTGCATGCCGTGCACCCACAATTGTACGCAATTTTATCCAAAAGCAGCGCTATTGCAGCGATCTTTTCTCTGGCCCTGGAATTCCTGAACGCTTTGATACCCATCCCAGTTTGGCTCGCGGCTCACAGTCGCTGCCCATTGCATCGCGCACTGCGGCATACACTCCAGCCTAGGGTGAAAGCGACCACTCGGAACAGACTTGAGTTTTGAGTCCATGCTTCAACAGTCTCTGCGCCATAACTGCAGCCATGAGAACGAATGAACGCCCCCACTTTGGATTAATTGCACTGACGGACCCTCGCCCTCTGAAATGGCTTGGCTTACAAAGGCACGCCTCCTCGCACCGTTTGCTGTCGTCAGGCCAAGGTCCGGTGCGGCTTTCGCCGCGGGCAAAAGATTCTACGCAAGACTTGGGAACCAGCGAGAGTTGGATTCTCCACGCGATAGACTCCTAGCACAAGTGCTTCCGGAACCTGGCCACCACATCGCAGATCGAACGCTGCCGAAACACCGATGAACAACACGACGTGGCCTGCGTGGCAAACAAGTTACGCACATGTTCCAGGTCGCTGTCCTGCGTCTCGAACTTATTTAAGTTTGTTTCTCTGCAACTCTTCTGCTGTCTGCTGTGGCAGCTGACTCATGAGCAGGCTCCTCATCCCTGCCAAAAGTGATCATGGGCAGAGGGGTGTCAGAGAGAACTCCGGCGCCTCAGGGGTTGATATCATCATGCAAACCTACTAGATTATCGACAATCTCGGGATCTCACTCAACAGCGGAGGTATGACGGGTTTCTCATCCATGGCGGCCTCCGTCTTTTGCCGAATCAACTCAAGGACTTGCGAAGCCCCATCAGGCCCTAATTCTGTGTTATGCCTCAGAGTTGTTCTCCTCCGGCAGACGGGTGCTGGCCATCCGACCTGATGACGCTTGGGATGGGTCGGGTAGGCCCCCCCCCCCCGTTGTGCACCAAAAATTAGCAAAACGATGCAAAACGCTGCCCTTCCCTTGCTGCCTGAAACGGATCGGCGCGGCTCCGGGCGCAGCTCCCGCGGAGATCTGCTCTATTGCGCTCTTCAGGTTGGCTTTGAGAGAGATCATCGAGCCATGGGCCTTGCTCGGAGGGCTGGAGGCGGCGGCGGAGCCTGGCCAGAGCCGAGAAGACACGGATTTTTTTGTTTTAAAGGGCGCGAAGCTAGTGGCGGGCCTTCGGTGGACTGCAGCTGCGCTGCCGGGCAGCCTGATTATATGACGCCCACAAGTAACCTGTAGGCTCGCACTTCAGGGCATTTTATGCTATATGCATCTGAGCCCCTGTGCCCTCGAAGTCAGCAGCGGATCGCGGAGCTCGAGAAATTCTCGAAAGCCCTGGGGCACGAGTCTCGACGTGCTTGAAGCAGCAATCGCCGACGACATGCGGAAAAACAAGCTCGACAGGGAACTGCTCACCTTGTCATCGTGGAGTTCCCTGAAGCTGATACCTGCAAGTGCTTGAGTCTGCAACACAGAGGAAGGAGAAGGACGTCACTCTGACACACTGCCACTGTAGCAGGGAGCACTGCAGGGCTTCCTCTCTGGAGAGGCCGTCCGCGGCGACCTGGAGCTGCGAAGCTTTCACTGCACAAGACAGCTACGGTCCCCTGTAGACTTGGCCGGCAAAGACGCCTCTGTCTGGGGTCGGTGCGTGTTTGTTTGGCGAACGGCATCGCAGAGTACTTTCAACTCGTTCAAGTGCCTCCAAGCATAGGCCGTCAGCGGAAAAGAGCAGCAAAACATCAGATCTAGATAGAAAAAAGTCGTGCTGGAGCAATGGGCCAGGGCACCCTTCGTAGCGTTGGCAAACCTGCTCATATTCGGACCTGAGGTGAAGGATAGAGACAGCAAAGCCGTCTGTTTGTTTGGAGAGCTGCCATCTCAACAGCAGAAGCTGGGAGCGCGGCGAGCTGACATTGCGGCGCGACACGTAGGCAGTTACTGTCTTCTCCTCAGCAGAGCAAACCATTCAGTGGCGATCGCGTCAGCGATGCTTCCGACAAAGTTTTCCAGGACCCCCACGAGCCGTTTCCAGGACGGAGAGGGCTGGACCCTGGTGAGATGAGGTTCGAGTCTACTGCTTCATGTCGGCGGAACTACAGACAGAGAGCCTGGAAAGAAGCTTCATTGCTATGCATCCTTGACGACTTCCGGCGAGAAGTTGACTGAGGTCTTTGCCAGCTGCACTGCGAAGGCTCGTCCTGCTGACAAGCTCGGCACGGTGGTTTCGTGCGAAGTCTCACTGCCAAGTACTGCTGAAGCTATTTGCGTGTCTCTCACGTTGAGATTCCAAGATCCCGTCTCGAGCAATCAGCAGGCCTTGTCGGCCTTCTCGGTTTTTTCCTCTTCTGGCTCCGCAGGTGACGGAGGCAACTCAGGTGAGGCAGACCCTGGACCTGACGTCGAGTGCCCAGTCTTCAGCGCATTGCTCTGCCAAGACTCCACCATGCTTGCAGCCCCGTGCTACCTGGAGTTGCAGCGGGAGCAGTCCATGCCAGCCGGGATCCCTGCGGTAAGGACATGCGAGATGCAAGCAAGTGCTACTGTCGGTCAGTCTCGTCATGTTTGCCGCACCGTGAATCTAGGCTGTGCGTGACACCATCTGTGCCTGCTGGCGGCTGTTTCGCCTTGTGATGGCAGAAGCTTCTTCGGATTGCTCCGTGTGCCATGTGTTGCCGCGCTCTGCAGTTCCGAACTTATCGGTCACGTGTCTACACTGCGGCCCTCTGCCCACCACGAACATGCAGGATGCACATGGATGCTCCAGGCCAGACTTGCTGCCGAAGGCACAAGGATGTCGCTGACGAAGCGTGGTCTCAGCAGACAAAAACAGCTGCAACAGGGCTGCACTCGTCTGACGGATCTGACTACCTTCATACAGATACGCTTTTGGCCATGCTGGGAACTTGGCAGAAGCCTCGATGCGGTGAAAGCGCCGCTGCAGCTCGCAGCGATGCACCTGCCAAGAATATGAAGCAGATGGACGTTGGAGAGATCGTGGTATGAGGGCTGAGGAGGCGGGACAAGTCATTCCGCGGCAACACTGCGGGCTGCCGTGATTTGCTGAACTCTTCACTGTCACTTCTCCGGCAGCCCAACCGAATAAGTCCCGAGCTCACGCCACTTGCTGGCCGGCCGTCAATTGCCGTGGCCTGTTGAGCAATCTCTAAGACAGCACAAATACTAACGGCGCAGAGCCCATGTCAGAAGCACACCCACAACATGCCTCGCCACTTCCGCTGCGCTGCCTCTAGAACATACCGAGCTTAGCCAGAATAGACCCCACAAATACACCACCGCTTCAGCGAGATCCAGCGAGTCAGACATCTCGCTGCCGCTTGCACCTGGCGCAAGGAACTGGTCCTCGAAGCACCGGACGAACCTCGGACCGGTGTCGGCACTTCCCATGCCACACATCACGAAAACCAACTGCAGCAGCTGAGGCCCTTACAGCTCGTGGGCGCGGCGACTGGGCCCGGACTTTGCCAGACCTTTCGTGGGGCAACCGTGCAATAGTATCATGCTGGCAGGGACACCCAACTTTTCAGCTTCCAATTACACTGACTGGTGAAGACAGGATAAGCAAGCTCATTCCTGCACTCCTTCTGCGTTCTTCTGCCTTGCCGCAGGAGTCTTGCGAGCTTCGACCTGGACGAAAGCTCACACCGCAACAAAGTCCGACTACCCAACGCACGCTTCTTGCCGAGAGTCAGGCTTCGACCAGATCCACCAAATAACGTGGACCATAGCAAGCAGGTTCAGGTTTTTATCCGCGCAAGGCCACAAAGGGTCTCGTGCCCCATCTGTGACTGGTATCAGGCTGGCGCCAGCCTCTACCCGAAGGGGGAAGCTCTCTGCAGCCTTGCGTCTTTCTTATGTCTTTGATTTTGTGCTCAGATTACAGCAGGCGAGCTTCCGCTTTGATACGCACATGTCTGTACATAAGCCGCGACAGCAGCTATTCCAGCAGGGAAGATTCTAGGCTATTTCTGCCGGGCCATTCGCTAGGTTTCGCAACCACGCGCATGTTGATCCCTAGATGAACTCGGCCGTTGCCGTTGGCAGCTGCTGGCATGTTCTACGCAGAAGCTCATACCCTGTGGAACACCCCCAAGGTCAGACCAAGCGACCTGCAACACGATCAGGAGTATCGTGCACGACAGAAAACTGCCCGTCTTCCCAGATCCCTTCCTCGCCTTCGTCAGGATTTGACTCGCCTGCCAGTTTGTCAGAGCGGTCTGAACGCTGTGCTGTCCTATCGCTGGCGGAGCCTGGCGTGCGCCTGACAATCTGAAAGTTGGGCTTTCGATATCGGGCTGAAACCTCCGGCTGGCCGAAGCCGACGAAAACCGATGAACAAAAGCAGAACCTAGCGCCATCGCATTGTCTGCTTGGCGAACCTCTTCAGAGAGGGCCTGCAGACCCTCATCGTCTTCGATCTCCCGAAGCATAGCCTGCAAAGTGTCCTCACGGTATGCTGCAAGATGCCATGAACTATCAGCCGGAGTTCCGTTCCGAACTCTCTGTAATTTTCCAACCTCGTCCAATCTGCCACCACCTGTCCGGAGATTTGCTGCCTCCCGGAAAGCTGCTTCTGTCCATGTTTTGGAAGCTGCGGTCCGTTTGCCGAGTCACACTTGGCAGCGAGGCGCTGAGGCGGAGCCCGGAAACCTGAGCATTCCACACTCTATAGAATATCGCCGAGGGCCTTCTGGTGACTGGGTCCGCGGCCAGCACCATCAAAAGCCGAAGCACCAGGGGCATGGCCTGGGCCACTCAGTTGGAGAGACTGGAGTAACAGAACTGTGGCAAGCTGAGGCTGGCGGCTTCTACGTTCGCGTTCCAGATCACAGTGGGAGGGTACTCCCACTTTGTTTCTGTGAGGTTGGCGTGACTTGTCTGAGCCAGAAAATGGCACGATGGTTGCCCATACTGCATGCCTTCGATGGCATCATGATGCTTCACGAAAACTGCAGGCCACGGCTTTGCGTGCCGCTGATGTATGTGCTTATGGCTACAACGAAATGTTGTGTGAAGATCGGTGTTACAGAGTTCCGCGAGCAAGGGCATGAAGCACACATGCCTCCGGCGGGCCGCCTGCTCGCCGTTCCACTGCCTCAGATTTTTTTAATACCTGACACGCTGTGAGAAAACTCAGGCGACAGTGCAGCAGGTCATTTGCTTCGAAAACAGACCGTGTCTGATGGCCAATTCGGGTCCGCGCCACCTGAGCATTGCGACTCGCCTCGCGTGGGCGCGCACCAGCGTGCCACAACCCTTTCAAGTCCGTCTTCGCCTGACTTCTCCTCCTTGCCTCTGTTTACAAGATCCGCAACAGCTGAACTCCCTGGAGCTGTGTTCAAGGAACCTCAAACACCTGCTCGGGAGTGAGAACACTCAAGAAAAGCGAAATTAAGGCGGCGGGAAAGCCAGCATCGCCAGCATCATCGGAGAACCGCTTCTCCCAATGTGGCCCATAAATCGATCCAAAGACCAGGATCTGTGGCACCTCTCCTACATTCCCCTCAGCCGTGGCGGCATTTAATTTTGACCACCTCCATGCTTCGCCATTGGCCACCCCCGTTGCGAGCTATCGCAGCTATCACTTGATGTGAAACTCCGCTCACCCTGCACGGCTATTTCTTGGCGATTTCTTGGTCGTGGATACTTTGGTTTTTGATGCGGCGGCCTTTTCCAGGAGCGTTCCATGTGTGCGCAGTGCATCGTTTCCTGTCTTACCATGATGGCAGCTGAAGAAACAAGGCTGGCAGAAGGAGGTCCGGGGTCTGGGGCAAGAGTCACGGGTGCCGAAGCTGTTGAAAAAGTTAGTTTCCTCCACTCCATGTCCGTCCAGAAGTTTCTGTTCATACTGGCTCTCTTCTTCCACACAGACCGAACTCTCGCTCCCCCTCTCTTCTTCCATCGGGCATGAGGGGCTGTCAAACCCTCCGGCCGCCAGGTGCCCCCATGTGTTATGGGGTGTTCAGGGTCAAGCACTCAAGGTACATACGTATATTGCGGACTAAGTACCTTCCCCCGATTTGGTCTGACACGTAGCACAAATTGGCACGTTCCCCCTTTCTTTCTTTCGTTAGGGCTGTGGACTAGGGGAGCTCCCCTAGCCCGCGCGCTGTCGCGCCCCCAACCGTTTTGGAGGGGGTGGAGATACACTGCTACACCACCGAGGCATCAGGCATCAAAACAGGGAAACAACACTCCACAAGGGTAATATAACAGCCAAGTAGAAGGATTTTCATGCCTCGTTTTGGATTCGCTTCATCTGCCGACCACACTGGCATCAAACGAAGAAAGGCTGCCCAGTCAAGATACCTAAAATGCACAACAAAGCAACATCGCAGTCGGCTTTTCGAGGGATTTCCCCCGTCTTTGGCTGCGAAAGTGCTGTATCTGCAACCTTTCAAAAGCGAACCCTTTTGGTGGTTCAGGGAAAGAAACGTTCCCCTCTCTCTCCCTCTCTGTTGCTATCTGGTCTTGCCTCCGGGGCATAGGGAGCATCTCAAGCCTCCCGCGCCGAGAGCCCTGCTTATGGGGCTCTGTAGGAGGGAGTCAAAATCCGAGCAAATCTGAATCTCGGTCGTAAAAAAAAACATGGTTCCCGCGTTATCGGGCCTCTCTCTCTGTCTCACATTCACGTAGACAAATCTGCTTAGCACCAGCGGGCACCTTTTGAAGCTCTTCTTGTGCTTTGAGAAGCAGATGCTCCTGCTGTTCCCTTTGCCTCCCGAGTATCTGTCAGTTCAGCAGAACCAGCCGGAGACCTTCATCCTCTGTCCAGGCCTGCGACTCTCAGCGACGACCCCAAGCGCAGGTTCCGCAGTTGCTGCCGCAGCACGGCCCAGGGAGGCAGGAAGGCCAGAGCTCAGCGCCGTCGCCTTGGCTACATCTTTTTCAGCCAACACCTTGCGCCAACTGAGGGCAGTGCGGCAGCATTGGCCAATGAGCGGCCGCTAGCCTTGACCAGCGAGGCACAGAGAACTAGTGCCACAGGCTTGCACTCTGGCTCCGGATGCTGTTCAACTTGCACGCTTACAACCAAGTTGCTCATGGTTGCACCATTCACTGGGGACCGCGCATCTCGGGCGTGGCCCATGATTCAGTGCACATGCACAATGGTGGTCAGACTTGCGATAGTTAGTGTGCTGCTGATGTCGAATGTGTCAACATGCCACAGAGTAAGAAGTGGAGTTGAGGAAGGTGCGGCTCGACTGTCGCACATGAAGCTGGCATAGCTGAGTTGAAAACGTGCTGCCCAAGACCAGGCAAGCTTGCACAGGCACGAATGCAGCTGACACCTGCTACGACCAGCCCGGGTTGGTCCGCCGCTATCAGCTGCAGCCTTTTGCTTCAGTCACGGCTCAGCACGCGCACCTGCATCGAAGGGCCGAAGGCAGAGGAACAAACATCCACAAGATTGACGCCCAGCTACGCCCACGCCAAAAATTTCCCTGGCTAGCGGCACCTCAGGCAACATCAACACAGCGACAGAGCTGTCAGTGTAGTCGAAGCCCACATAGGGACGCGCCTGCCCAACGCTTCGCTAAACGTTGCGCAAATCGACTTGTTCTAGAAAGCGAAACTATCTGAATGAAAACATGCAATCGCGCAGCCGGGCGAAACACGCTTGCCACACACAAACACCTGCTACACGGCAGAAGAGCACAGAACCAAACCCCCCGCGTAGCTTTTTGATGGTCAATGGTGAAGGAATCAACGAAGTGGCAAATGAAAGGTAGCATTGCAGTAGCTATTTCGGTCGATCTTGAAACGCCATATGTGTTCTTATGCATATATCAAGCGGCATATATGTGCGTCAGTATGTTACCGGTGATCTGACAGCGAACGGCACCTCAACGAAAAGGTAGTCTCCTCTGCCCGGGCAGACTGTCGAAACCTGCACGTTGCTTGGCACCTGCCCACATGGAAGTGGACGAAGAGTGAAGAGAGCTGTCGATTGCCGCCACAAAAGCAAACGCCACATGCATTCCAGGATGAACAACTACTGGAGACCAAATCAATGCCAAAATCCCGAGAACAACGTAGAACCGACGTGCCTTCAGGGAGGCACATTCAGCAGCTCTGTCTATCTCGGTGCTGTTGCCCAGCAGGAAAAAAAGCACATGACCTGAGATGAGGCACAACAGCCAGAATGAAGCGATGAGGTGCGCATAAGGCAAGGACCATAGGTCTCCGTGCAGCAGTCTCTAGACCAAACCTTGACCTGTCCGCACTGCTGAAGATGAGGTTAAACGATGTCAAAACCAGAGTGGAATATGACATGCCTCTGGGTCGGAAGCTGTCCGCCGCAGCTTCACCCACCAGTGAGAACCGCCAACTGAGCACAGCCCAGTGCCCGTTCTGCGGGCACATGCTGCTTCCGACTGTACGCACTGCCAAACGCCATAGATTGGGATCTGCACCGTATTTGCCCTGATGAGACGCCTGCAGATCCAGCAGTTTCGGCTGGATTCCAGCAAACAAACACAGGTCAAGCATGCTCGCCTTGTTCGCACCATCCAAGTCGAAGTGATACTCGTGAGGATGATCCTCACAAGCCAGGCAGCCTATGCCTGCGTATGCGTAAAGCGAAAGTGCACAGGCTGAAGCTCGCGACAAGCCTGCCGTGTCTCCCCGTCATTGGCCAGCCGGTGAGCACCGTCTGCACGAGCAGGGGAGCCCCCTTGCAGCAGCAAAGGTCGCACTAGCCGGAACCGTGTCGTGCTGCGGGCGCCCGGCCACTGGGCTGGCGTGTGGAGAGGTCACGGTGCTCGTCCGAGGCATCAAGGTCTCCAGCCATCTGCAAACCCGAGAGGGCTCTCTCAGAAAAAGCTTCTGTGGCTACTCGCCGCCTGTTCAGTACCGCTCACCGTGCGCGGCACCCCTCGCAGGGAGGCGATGAGTTCCAAGGCCTCTCGAGTTCGACATGGCATGTCAGAAGGTTGCATACCACAGACTACAGACCTTTCGTCGTCGGTTCGACTGCATCCTTCGCGTCTTTCCAAGCATTGGAGAACTCGTGCCGTCACTCGCATCTCTACCTGCATATTCTGCTTCGACGGTTTCCTCAACCCGATTTGTGCAATCAGTTTTGTGACATTTGTGTGCACACATCGTGCTGACGATGCTGAGCGAGCCTGCCATTGTTTATGCCTGGAGCCTCGCACCGGGCTGCGCGTGGCCTAACTTCTCCCCCATGCGTTTTGGTCTGGTGCGTCAGAAAAGAGCGACGAGCAAGCGCCGCCGAGTGAAATGGCGGTACCCATCAAGCCCAAGCACCGTGCTGCCCAAGTGCATACAAGTTGTTCAATGAGGAGCAAAGTCCCTGGTGGCGGTGCTGCTCAATGCAGCTGGCTGGCGAGCCGCCGTCATGCAGGAGCTAGCCAGCAGGATTGATGCAGCAGCTCTCTCTCTCTCTCTCTCTCTCAAGTCCCTTCCCCGTTGGATTTGCTTCTTTCCGCTCCGTTTTCGTATCACCTTGTCTCGCTGCCTTATCTTCGACCTGCCTCCGTCTCAATTGAAAACCAGACAGAAAAACGCATCGTCGGCCTGACACCAGAAACTCATTGCCACCCCGAGGTGCTCCATCTGGCAGGGCAAGGCAAGGCTGCATGCAACTCCCTTTCACCTTGACCGGTGTTGCAATAACACGATCATAGTTCGACTGAGTCAAGAACATGTGCCCTCTGCATAGAGTGGCTGATCTTCTGGTGATCCGCCGCAGCCAGCTGCCTCGCGCAACGGCAGGGTGCCATTTTCTCATAAGCAGAATTGCAACACAATCACTATCGTCGACACGTGTACGACAAGTGCATGTTTACGGGCTACTGCTACAATTGATACCACTGCTGCTTCTCGGCTTCTTCCGAATGGTAGTTTTGGTGTTCAGACCATGACTGCAGCCAGTAACAGTTGTACTTTGGTGAACATGATGCAGACGAAAATAAAGCATGAAGTCTTGAAGTCCAACAGTAGGATGAGGACGAGGATGACCAAAATTGTTCAATGACGATGAGGAACAGCGAAGGATGGCAGGCCCCAGAGCCGCCCCACGTGATGGCTTCGCTTTCGCAACTTTCCGAGTCCGCACATGTTTCAGTCCCGTGGTGGCATAGCCCGTGCAATCAATTCATCTGTGCCCGCTCAGGGCCATGCTTAAGCAAGCTCGGCACTGAGTCAAAGTGGGAGATGTGCGGCAACGTTAGGTAGTCGGTGAAAGCTGCCCAGTACCTGAACGAAACGTTTGAAATGCCCACATGGTCTTCCCATCTGTCATCTGTTTGGGCTGCATCTGGGTTACGTCATGGCGGCCCAATCGTCGGTGTCCTTACAGAGCTGATGCTTTCTACACTTGGCGAACGGAACGTCAGCTCATCAGATGCTTTCAGAGCTTCGAAGGGCGAATGGGGATGCACGCGATGTGGCGCATGCCCAGGCCGGCTACCCTCGAAGTCTGGACAGACGGAGTAGTCCTGAATCACACTTCACACTGCTCAAATTATCACCAAAAGCACGTGCTTTTCAGCCGAAAGGAGGTCTCTCCTGACTCACATACAAGGGCAGCGAGTCTCGCGAGGGCATGTAGATCGGCACACCCATGGCATAGAGCCTGAGAAAAAGCATTGCCGGCTTCAGCAGTCTAGCAGATTAGTTGCACACGGTCTTGTGAACGGGATCTGACTAAGAATCAGGCTCGTAGAACCAGAACTGACTTGGACTGTACGGATAGATCACGGCCTTGGCACACTCGTCTCTGAACGAAACCGCATCCAAGAACCACAAATGCTGACGAAGTGGCAGCCAAGAACTCCGAGAAAGTAGAATAACCCATCCGCTCTTTCCTTACAAAGTATGGTCAGGAACAGATAACATCGAGTGTGTCCAGTGCCTGTACTTATCGAACTTATTAGAACGTATTGCGCTCCACCAGCACGAAGAAACACCCTCGCTCCGTGGAGCCCTCAAGCGAAGCTGGCCGGTTCCCTGGGGAGTCCTCGTGAGCTCTCGGCACAACTCAGTATGGTATACTATCTATCTATCTATCTAT